CAAAAAGCTTGCCCAGGATCAAGGTAAGACTAACTGGCCTATAGTTTCCCAGGTCCTCCTTCCTCCCCTTTTTGAAGATGGGAACCATGTTGGCCCTCTTCCAGTCCTCTGGCACCACACCAGAGCACCATGAGTGCTCGTAAAGCCGTGCCAGGGGTCCCGCAATGACCTCAGCCAATTTCCTCAGCACTCTAGAGTGGAGATGGTCTGGACCAGCTGATTTGAATACATCCAGTCCCTCCAGAAGTTCCCTAACTAGTTCCTCACTAACCCTTGGCCTGGGTGCGCCTCCCCTGGGATCTAAGTTAGCTCATTGACTTAATGGCTCATTGTTCTTTACTCCACAGGTATTAACAATCCTCCCTTCTTTTCAATAGTCTCAGTGTTTCATTACTCAAGCTAACCTTTTTTAGTGCAATTTTGCTCTCTGTTAGCTGCTCCTGGTCTCTTTCCTCCTATTTCAGAGCCTAAAAATCAGGCTCTGTCCCTGCTCTTTGCAGCCATAATTCTGGAAAAAAAAATCTTTTCTTCTTTATTCTGCCTTTCAAAAACAAGGACATATTATAGTGTGAGGTGTGTTGTATATTAGAAAATATGGTATTTTCCAGCCCACCTGTGAGGGCACGGGATAAGGCAGCTACATTGCAAGGCTCAGCAAGTCTGCAAAGACCCCAGGCTGCTGAGCAAAAATAGCCACTCCATTTGCAATGCAGAAACTGTCTCTGCTCCCCTCAGGCTCTCAGTGCTCGGCCTCAAGGCCAAAGCCTTTTCCTGAGAGGCACTGATTACGGATGCAGTTTTCCAGCAGCTGAAAGCATTGTGTCAGAGTCCAGACCAAAGAGAGAGAGAGAAAAAAAATCCCACCCATTTCGACAGTGCTATTAACCTCAGGCAGCCCTCCCGCCACAGCAGCACATGGCTCTCTGCAAAGGGAAATTGCTCCTGATTGCAATGAAGATTAGGAGCGTTCCCCTCTGCCATGCTCTGAGAATGAACAAGTAGGGACGCAGGATGCAGTTTCCTTCCTAGCTCAGGGAAATAGTATTGGATGACCGGCAGAGATGAGGGGAGGCAGGAGACAGATGGTTGTACTGGGCCTTATTCTTCCTCCTCCTGGACGATACATGAGACCAAAAGAAGACCACCTAGACCGCTGATTCCTTAACTTTATGGGCCCCTGAACTGCCATCAGTCCCCAGGGCAGCAAGTGCCCTTCTGCCTTAATGCTTAATGGAAGACAATATAAAAGACATAAAGGGGGAGGTATGATCTGTGGACCAGCAGCTTACAGGCCTCAGGGGGTCCACAGACCATATTTTGATAACCACAAATCTAGACACCCAGGGAGTCTACCAACATACCTGGAGAGCAGGTTGTTACAACGCTGCTGTATTGTTTTACCTACCCCACACCTTTTCCTAGTTAGCCCTTCAAAAATGGTGCCTGTCCTAAGCAGGGAAGCTGATTTCTGCTCTGGAATAGAAGCATGGAGATGCTGTAATGGCAGCTGAGGGCTCTGCTTCTCTCCAGCCAATATTTAACAGGGGTAGAAATCAGTGTTCAACCTGTCACAGCCACTATTGGATTGGCAGTAGCTTTTGGCGGAGCAGCTGAGTGAGGGCAAGTGAACTGGTCCATGTGGCCCATCTTTGGCAATGACTCTGGAAAACCTTTTATTCCTTCATTCTGCCTTCCCCAAGCAGGGTGTGTGTCTTATTGGGGTGGTGTGACACATGAGAAAATATGGTATTAGCAAATGTTACACCTATTGTGATCAGTGTTGGCTACATTTTTTTTCGTCAATCAGCATATACAGTGAAGTCCAGTGGTTCCTAGGGAAAAGACATGAAGATGTTCACAGTGGTGATGGGAATGGTTAATGGAAGGCCATTTGTGAAGACTTTCTTAATTACAGGCCATTAGGCCTGCAGGCAATGCTAGCGGCTGCCAAGAATGGTTGTCTAGGAAGCTACCAGGCTATTTGAGGCAGACTGGAGAACGGGTGGATGCGTCACAGCACATCCTACCAGCTCCCCTCGGAGCAGGGGCCATTTAGAAGGGAAATAATGTATGTGTTACTATGTGGGTGTATGGGAAGGAGGATGTTTCCATAGTATTTCCTATCAGTCAACGCCTTGTATAGGTTGGCCATACAGAGGCTTCAGGTTCCCTAGATATTATGGACCATTATGATGATCTATTCTGACTTCTTGCCTAAATGAAAACCAGAGAGTTTCAGTCATATCAAGCTCTACAATGTGTGGCAGAAAAAAGCAATACACCATTGGGATGGAATTCAAATCCATCTCTTCAAGAGAGATCACAGCTGCAGTGCAGTACTGTAGCTAGACTGGCTTTTCCCACCTGCCCAAAGGACCTTCTGTTACTGCCACTGGGTTTGGTCTACTGAAATCTTGCTATTCAGAAACATGAAACAGTGGTGGAACAGCGACGGAGGACTGAATGGATGGGGTTACCTCTCATCGTGGAAGATAACCAGCTCTGAAACTATTTAATGCTTGGGTGTGGAAACCCCTTGGAGTGCCAGAGGACAGAGATATGAGCCAAGGAGTTGGGTCTGATCAGCGGCAATAGAAATGAGACGAGTGATGAGACTTCATTTGGACCTGTTGTGGCTGCTGAGCTGGTGGACAGGAAAGGACTATGGTGGTGATGTCCCAGGACTGTACAGCTTACACCAGTGCTAATGCAACATGTAGGCCAACACCACCGCTACTTATAGGATTTGCTTCCCACAGCAACAACCTCTGAACTCTTCCTACATCGGATCCACGCACACCCCATAGCACTGTGTGACCATACCATTTCCTCTCTTCCCATCTCCCATCCTGCCTTCCTATCTGTTGAGTCCCAAGGGAATTTACAACTGCATTTTCCAAATGGCCACAAAGCAGAGGGGTAGGCATCCACTACAACCAAATCTAAAGGAAAAACTAACAGACAGTTACATCGAGATACCTGTGATAAGGGGAGCTGAGTCTGTGATGGGTGTCTCTGGTTTTGCTGTACTGTGTATTCCTGTAGGTAATTCTCCTTGGTCCTCGCCTTCCTTCGGGATGCGTTCTGGGGACTGAAAATGTCCATCCTGTTTCCCATTGATTTCTGCTGTGTAGCCTGCATCCAGGTCTGTAGATCTGGTCACTACGTGAAAATCTTCCCCTGTAGGCAAAAGTTGGGTTGACAAGGTTCTTTGGGTGAATCTGATATCTTTTCTTATATTTATAAAGTTGGGTTGGGCATTTGACCAGTAAAGTTTGAATAAAGTTCGGTCAGTTGACTGGTTAAATATCAATCACAAAATAATAAAAAGTTGCCAGTTGGTCCAAATAATACGCAGAAAAAGCAAAAATTTTCCATGAAGAAATGTGTCAAAAAACAATTAAAAAAATCGGGTTTCTGTCAAGAAAACTGCTAAAAAAAATGTAGTTTTAAAAAAAAATGACTATAACCTTTGATGAGTAAAAAATATGCAGTCAATTCACCAGACAATTGACAATATTTGACCAGTCCCTTGACCAGCTTGCCAACCCTATGCAAAAGTATTGGTGCAGACAGGAAGGGTGGGTGGCACTAAGCACCGATATGCTGAAAGCAAATGATATAGGAAGGCAGATTAGATTATGAAGGTAAGACTCCCAGGACCACATACAGATGTAGGGGCATGTACCTTATCACGGAAAGACAATCCCGTCTAGCAGGTCAGTACTCTAGGAGCTAAAAGGCATGTGCTCAAACTATTCAGACTCAGAGCTGGATCTACAGGATGCAAAACAAATGACGAGTGGTATCATGAGAACAAGAGCCGGGTGAACAACGTCAAGGGAGTGTGTGAGAAAGCACAAGACAACACGTGTTCTTCGGGTCTACATTGCTGATCACACCAGTCCTTTTCATGGTATTATTCATTATTCTCCTGGCTGAGACACAAATGTGGGTATTGCTGTAGTTTGACTGTATCGCAGTAGCGCCTGGAAGCCACGACCCGGATCAGAGTCTGGTTGTCTTGGACACGGGATGGCACACAGCAAGAGATAACCCTCGCCCCTAAAAACTTCCAAACAAAGGGTGGGATGGGGAAGAAATGCAAGAGCTCGCACAGCAGGGGACTGACCGAGGTGGGAATAGATCTGCGACTTTAGGAATCACAATCCAACCCCCTAAGTGCTGGACCGCATTGCCTAAGCTACCCTGTCACTCTTTGACCCTGGCCCGTGGTAACTCAGGGCTACTCTATATTGTGACACTTGCAGGGAAGGGCCCAACGGCCCATTTCAGAAGCAGCTTGGCTACGTCTCAAAGACAGGAGCTCAGGGCAGGATTGCGGGGGAAATGCTGCTCTCCCATTCTCAGGAACGTCACCGTGCCAAAAAACCTCCCTACCTAACCACTGAACCTCTGATTACTGATGCCCATGCCACCATAGTGGAAAAGGGTGGCCTTGAGACAACCAAAGATGCTTTATTTCTAGACTTAAGAAATTTGTGATATTTAGAAAACTTCCTCTCTTTTGAAGGCAGCCTGGTCTCAAGCAGTATGAAACCACAGCATGTCACAAAGGCTAAACCTGCAATAATTACAAAAATAATAATAATGCCTTATAGCATATTAGCAAAATATATTCCCAGGGGCCAAAGGCTTCTCCAAGCCCCCTTCATATTTGCGCTGTAAAACTGTATTAATGTTTCCCTTAGAAAATAGCACCTTGAGACTCGGGACCTAAAAGCAATCTATAACCCAGCTACAATCAAAGGAAAAGTGTTTCGATCCTCCTCCTCGGCCTCATCTGGGGTTGGAAACTCCACAGTGTAGGAACCACCTTTGTAGTTGCCTGCAAGAGGCCATGCTCACTTCAACGTCTACTGAAACATTACCAACCGTGCCGTTTTCCTACGGGCAGCCATCTCAACTCACCTGTGTGCGCTGCAAAAATAAGGAGAGAGAGACATGAATAAGTGGAGATCTGATTCCTGAAGGGATAACAGGGAAAGGGTAAAACCAGCAAGGCCACGACATTTGGGGGCAAGAATCCAGGTTCAGACCAGTCATTTATATCGTGGAGTTATAGCATCAAAATGCTTTGGCCAAAGGAAAAAAGGCTCGCTAAGAATAACTTCCAAAATGTCAAGTGGCATTGTGTCGGGTTTTTTTTTCATTTAAAAAACAATGCTTCATTTACTAAATTTACTCCAGTGTAGTTTAGGAAGAAGAAAGAAACCTGGAAACCACAGCAAATGCTCCATCCCTCCCCCTCAAATGACTTCTTGTGACTTCTCAATTCACCAACATCCTTGAGACAACTCTAATTTCAAGTCAGCCCAAAACGAAACAAGTGAACCTGGTCCTGGTCAGGATGACAAGGGTTTGGGAGTAGTTTTCCTGCAGCCGTGCAGGGTTGGACCAGGTCCTATGAGCTGGCAGGACCCGGCTGCAGAAGAGGAAATGCCCACATTGCTCACAATTATTAGGAAAATCCAGGAGATTGGCATGAACTCAGAGGTTGTTTGGAGCCAGGGAACATCCTGCGTTGTTCCCTTATGGTAACCATATCATTAACCATCTACAAAAGCATCAGCCTGACCATAAAGGAAGGGTTTTGCACATAAAACCACAGAAAAAGGGACAGGAAAGCCAAGAGTATCAGGGCCAAAATTACAGCTTGGGAAAGAGGTCGAGACTGTGGCAGGGATCCTGTGCCCGGCGCACACTTGCATTCATCTAAGGGCTTGATTGGTGATGCGTCCCCCGCCTGCAGCTAATGGGGTGATATTTGCTGTGCCAAGCCGGGGCGTGCAGGCATTCAAATTGCTCCAATTTAGCCCCTGCTGGGAGTTGCTGCCGGGCCACGTCTCTGCAAGCAGAGCTTGCTCAAGCAGACTCACCACACTTGTCACTCAGTTCGCTCCTCACCACGTCCTTCACGGCTTCCTCCTGTGTTTGCAGGGGGGGAAAGCTTTGTTTCAGAACCAGCATCTATGGGCACAAGGACATCTTCCCTCTGGCCTCCTTCAGGCACTGTGTTTGCACATATCTGATGTTGCTCCACTAGCTAAGGGGCGAAAAGCGGCATCTACTTCACACCCCCGCTGAGTGTCGTAAAGCGGCCTCCATATAGTCGAGAATTAGGCTCCTGGTTTAGACCTACTGGCTAATTCAGCTAACACCGTTCCAATGACAAATACACGGGGCCACCGTTGTTTTCTAATGAAACCAAGTGCTGGTGACGTTCTCACTGGTGTCTCCTGTTGCATTTGGGAAGTAAGGATCAACACAACTCCATAGCCAAGGTGGCCCTTCTCCAACTTGACTTGAGAATTAGAGCCATTGGGTTTTCAAATGGCTCTCCTTCCGCCCTTCAACCAGAAGCCATTAGTTCAGTAGCTCAGGAAGACACTTCCTTCCACAAGGCCCCTCTTCCTTGCTGCTCCACACACCCCCACCCCAAGGACAAGTTTAAGTGGAGAACCCATCACACCTGGATGATACCCAGCCCGGTTCTGGTCCAGAGAAAGGTACAGTCAAAAACACAAAGGGCAACTGTGACAGGTTCCCATTCCCAACTATACAAGAGGTCTCTGTTGGCTGATAGCTGTAATCTAGGTATTATTTTAAAGGGCAATTAGCCACCTCTCTGCCCTCTCTCACTACAGTACGGATCTCTCCCAGAGACCATTCTCTCTCCATCATCAATGCTACTTTAGTCTTTATCCCAAGACGGTCCGTTTCAGCCGTGGCCAGACCTCAAGGGGTTTGGTTTGGAGAAATACCTCCAGCTCAGATGCTCATTTGGCTTCAAACATGTCTGATCTCAGGGGAACGGGTTCTGTAGTGACATACCTCATGCCTCTCATCTCCGGGTGGGCCAGAAATATTGCAAAAGTTATTTTTATTTTTATTTTTTCTGATTCTGCCAATGCCCTGATGAAGTGAGGGGCAACTATGACAACAAAATGCCTGACTTGTAAGCTTTTCTGAAGAGTCTCATCCTGTTAGTATGTGCAATGCCTAATGGACGTTAATGAATTCAACCTGGTAGCACTCTGATCACTTCTCACATTTAGCTGGTGTGGAAGCAAAGACCCAGAGAGATTAAGTGACTTGGCCAAGTTACAGAAGGGTCCGGTGGTGGGAAATTCCTAAACCCCAGCCCCACTTTCCTTGCAAGGTCATCCTTCCCCAGGCTTGGGACACAAGAGAAGCCCAGCTGTTGCAAACCTTACCCAAAGATCATGCCCCAAGCCTGAGCCAAGGGCGTACATTGGTTCTTACTGGCCGCGTCTACACATACACATTTACTGTGCAGTAACCTAAAATTACTGAGTAGTATGGGTGTGTGTCTACACATGCATGCCCATACTGTGCAGTAACTATGGCAATTTATGCCAACTTGGGCATAAATTTGATACCTGCATTATGCAGGTATCAAATTTATGCCTAATTAGTTACTGCACAGTAATGCATGTGTAGATGCCTCACTGTGCAGTAACAGTGTGTGTGTGGACTAACTTGGGACTAACTTTAGTCCTAAGTCAGACCACGCACAGTGTTAATGTGCTTTAACATCTGCATGTGTAGATACCGGCCTATTTCCACTTACTGCGCAGTAGATTTAATGCAGCGTAAATGCACGTATAGATGCACCTACTGAATGTGAACTGGCCCAGGCCCCCACTCACCTTCACACCTCAAGGAGTATGAAGCTGCCTCCTGGATTGTCTTAGCCCATGTTCACAGGGCCATCTGGCCCCTGGCTATTAATGTAAGTCTTCTGTGATGGGGGAGAAGATACCCCCTAGCATTAGAGCTCCTCATGATCTCCCTGTCTTCACCCAGAGCTAATGGGGTTGCCCCTCCTGCTTTCTTTCATGGTGTCTTTCTCCCTGCATGGCTGTGATGGGTAGTCCACTTCTCCCCTGTACCTTTCTTTTATCAGATTTGATAAGAGTTTTCAAACACCTGAAGGGGGATTATAAAGAGGATGCAAACAGAGATGCAGGAGAGAGGACTAGGAGCAATGGCCTCAAACTACAGCAGAGGAAATTGAGGTTGGAGATTAGGAAGAGCTTTCGGACTAGGAGTCATAGAGAAATATGGCTGGAAGGGACCTTGTGAGGTCATCTAGTCCCTACTGGACCACTATACTTGACCACTAGGAGAGTGGTCAAGCATTGGAACAGGCTATTTAGAGAAGTTGTGGAATCTCCATCCCTGGAAATTGTCAGCTGCTTGGCTAGGATGGCTTAATCAGGTATGATATTGCCTCGAGCAAGGACCCGGACTAGTTGACCTCATGAGGTCCCGTCCAGCCCTATTTGCCTATGGTCAGGAATTAGTTTCACTCCTTTTCTGGCAGCTGCGTCTCTTCTGACACACACTGTTCTGTAAGAGGTGATCTCTGAGGCTTTTGGCCTGTCCCTTTACCGTTGGGCATGATACATCCAACCAGCATGATGTGAGCCGAGTGTCTTCCATGCAAAACCTGCAGCAGTAACAAACTGCACCGAGTGGAGTCTTCTCTTCTCCCTCTTAGGCAATAAAAACCCTGGTTTTTGACTTGGTTGGTTTGCTTGTTATTTGGTGGTTGATGGGAAGAGGCAAGTGCTGGCACTACAAAGGTCATTCTTATTACAGCAGAAAGACTTTGACTTACCTACTGACATGGCCTGAATGCACAATGACAGATCTGCTCTGAGCATAGAAAGGAAGCCTGTGCTAATCTGGCTTCCTTGTTTAGCTTGGTTGTAGCCTGTATTGCAATTACACTGCTCGCCACTCTCTTTCTGGCCCAACCTGCCGGTTCGGGGCATCTCGCCATTCCAGAGCAGCCCGTTATTCCAAATGCTTTTATCTAGTGGGGATGCACTGAAGAAATTTGCTGCTAGTGTCTCCACCCTTCTCCCCATACCTCTTAGTGGTACTTGGCCCTAATTTCTCTTTTCAGGCATGTGTAATAGGCAGCGATTTGGGGGAAAGTACTCACAGAAAGCCCCGGTTCTCCTTTCTCTCCTTTCAGACCGGTCAGCCCTTTTTCTCCCTGTTAAAATAGAAAGGAGGAGGTGGAGGGGGGGAAAGGCACAAGGCTCAAATGCAGCATTTGTCACAAATGTGGGATGATGCCAGAAAATAGTGCAGTGAATCAAAGGGGCTAGAGTTATCCCAGCAAAGGACCATAGAAATTAGTCGGTATATAAAGGGTCCTTGATCCTAAGAGCTGGTTGGCGTTTGACCAGTCTCAAAGGATCTGCCCCATGGCACCATGGCATCTGCCCCATGGGGCTCCTCGTGGGGCTAGAAATTGGCCTTTGCTCCCCTGCTGCCTAATTTTTGGACCCATGGAGAGCCCCGGGCCCCATGCACTGAATCAAGTGCCTATGCCCAGGGCCCAATACCAGTGTCAGGGAATGGGGGGGTGGCAGTGGTGGGCCCCCAGGACCCACTTCTGGTGCACAGGGGGCAGGAGGGGGCAATGCCAAGCCCTGAGACCCAATCCCAGTGTGTGGAGGGTGCAAGGGGCTGGCTCTGGGCCCCCAGGGCCCAATCCCTGGGGGCAAGGAGGGGATGGCGCTTGACCCCAGGGCCTGGTCCAACCCACAAATAAGCCCTGCACCACTCATCTGGCCAGTGGGACCAAATGGTTGAGCACCACTGGTCTACATTATGGTAGCAGCATGTCTCCACCAGGACACATGCCCCACAAACGGGCACCAGCAGGCATACTCCATGCCTGACGTGAAGTCATTAGTGGGTGGACTCTGAGGCTGCTCTTGAGCCCTGAGTCCCTGGCCTGATTGAGAGCATGGGGCCAAAGGCTGTATAATTCCCAGTAGGAGTGTGCCCTCAGATGGGCAGGGCATGGGTGAGACAATGTGGGCCTTTCCTGGCTGGGACATGCTGTTGTGCTGGTGATGGCAAGGCCAAAAAGAGGCTGAGCACCTAGCCGTGACAGCCAAATTCCTGTTCCTGCATCATCTGGGTGACGCAAAAGTCATGGGGTGACAGCTTGGCCTCAAAGCAGGGGGACTGTGATGCTCTTGTGCCGAGTGCAAACAAATGCTGGATGGAAATCTTCCTGGGGCCACTGTAGTCACAGCTTGGAGGACCCACCGCCACCAAATATAAGGGGAACGGAAGCCAAATGGCAGATTGAATCACTCAGTTCACTCACTCACCTGCAAAAGCTGCTTGGAGACCTTGCAAAAATCAGATTTGCTGATTCTAAAACTCTGGGGTCAGGAAAGAGAAAAAGCGCAGAGAGCAAAGGACAAATTGTCCCAGCGACAGCAGCTGGAGCCATTTTTCTAAATTTGCCTGTTCTTCTGGGGAACAGAAATGGAGCAGATTACATTAACCTCCAAGGAAGCATGGAGCTAAACCTATTAGGGGCCAAAATGCAATGGACGCTCACTAACGCAAGAAGGCCGGGAGTCAGGGATGTCGACACCTGTAGCGGATGGGAGCTCAGCCAGAAAAGACGACCGGGTTAGAAAGATCAGAAGCAGACTCAGTACGGAGAGGGAGGGTTTTAGGACTAATCGTTTTTTTGCAAATCTGTCCCCCGTTTCCCCACAGCCAGACACAGAGGTGCAAGCGGTTTGTCTCCAGCTGGTTTTCGCCTCCTGTCTGACTTAGCTACTTGTGCGTAGGCAAATGTATGCCTGGTGTTGTGTGCAGAGCAATGCAGAGATCTTCATTTCTTGCGCTTCCCCCTCTTTTTTTTTTCCAGCTTGTGGAAGACGGGTGCAATTTCCCTCAATTAGCAGTGCAAACGGAGAGAGCAAGACTTCAAAAGAGGGGAGCTTGAATTTAGGTTCAATCTGTATTTAGGTATCTAGAGGCTGCAAATGAGAGAAGAACAGTGGGGGGCATATGCTCGTCACCCCCCTTTCAGCATCTGCTCTCTGCCACCGTGCGATGCAGGAGAGTGGGCAAGATGGACATATGGTCAGACCCAGTCAATGGCAGTTCTTATGATCTTCTGATAAGTAGACTGATCTTTCAAAAAACAAACCACCAGTAACTCCCATGGGCTGCTGAGTTGTCTGCACTTTGGTAAGCCAGGCCAATTTATTTAAATGCCAAACATGGACGTAGCAGCCTAAGTTCATGTTCCTGCTTCTGAAACTATTGGTCCTTGCTTTGCCAACGGGGTCTGCCGGGCAAAATGATTCCTGCCTAGCTGGCCCTGGGATCCTTTGAGATGACATTGAAATGCCATCTATTTATAGTGCTCTTTAATCTGATCCCATGTCCCTCTCTGGACAGCTAAAAGACAGATGCTCTTGCACAGAGCTGTCTCAAAATAGGACATCACCATAGGAAGAACGGGAACACGTGTGGTTTTTGGAGTTGATGACTGGCAAATGATGAAAAAAGGCAGAGAAATGCATGGGATCAATGATGGGGAAAAACAGGTGGTGGGTTTGAGCTGGCCAAACCTAGGAGGGGCACAGCCCTTTACACACACAGCTGGTCCCTGGAGTGAACAGAAATTCACTCAAATTGGCCACAATTGCCCTGGGAAAAGTGTTACTTCAGATACTTCACACTTATTTCATGTGGGACAGTGGGCTTGTACATCTGCAGGCATACATCTGTACACCTGCCATCATCATCTCACGAGACTGCAGAGGTATCACTAATGATGCCTCAAGGAAAATCCCCCACCCCAAACAGGAAGATCGTCGCACAAACACCAGGATCCTTGCTGAAAACAACGCTACCGGCATTGAGTTGGTGATCCTCAAGCACCAACTTTGTTGTGCCAGACATGGTATATGGATATATGACTCTCAGCTTCCAAAAGAAGTGCTCTGCTCCCAGCTTAGCTGTGGCCTGAGACCTTGCGGTGGCCAGAGGAAACACTACAAGGACCTACTGAAGGCAGACCTCAAGAAATCGGATGCTGACACCAAGAGCTGGGACTCCAAGCCAAAGTAATCAGGATGTGTGCAAGACGCAATCTGGCTTGTTTTCTTTTGCAAGATGTTCTTGAGTGAGCACGGGAAAAACCTATTAGCAAATGCTGCCTTCCCAAAGCACAGCTGGCAGGCTGGCCCTGCTCCTAGGGGGTCAGCAGAAGGCTTCCTAGAGAGTTTGGGAGCATCCAAACATACGAATTGATACTTACATAGACACTTCATAAAAAAGTATGAGCATTACAGCCATGGTGTAAGAGATGTGGATGTCTGATGTCAACAGAATGACATAAGATGCAAGTTCAGTTCACATAGAGACCATCCCTTAGGTCTACTGGGAAGTGCCAAAAATCCCCAGTCCATGTAGAAGGACTGGAAATTTTTGGCACTTCCCAGTAGACCAAAGGGATGGTCTCTATGTGAACTGAACTTGCATCTTTTGGCAAACATGCAGAGCTAATGTCTTGCAGGCGTCTTGCAACCAGGGCTCACACCTTGCAACACCTTGCTTGCGGTTGTCATGGCTGTGAATATTGAGGTCTCCAAGGAAATACACACTGCAGCAGCAGCCCAGATAGCACCCGACAGCATGCTCATGCACAAAATGCTGCGGTGCCCGAGAGAAAGTGGAGGAGCAACACCAATAACCCAGCAGAGGAGGGATCGAGCCCAAAGCCAGGGGATGAACCATTAGATCACAGCTTCATTTTTCTCTTCTCTGAGTTGTCCTCGGTACTAACCATCTCTCCTTTTTGGCCGGGTGTGCCCGGCGGCCCCCGGAGGCAGAGCTGAGGTCTTCCTCTTCTACCTCTCGGACCCTAAAATATCAAACAAAAGGGTCATTCCCTTGCCTCCAGACTGACTACTGGCTTCTGGATGTCCCCTGCCCTCCTAAATACCACCCGTGGCGTCATAGGATTTCAATCGCCAAGGATGACTTGGGGTTTAGTTGCTCTAAAAATGCATCGCCCTTCTATTCATGCCTTAAATCTAGTTCCTTTATAGGGAACTACATTGTTCCCTATGGAGGGAAATGCCCAGGGAACAGGAGCCTGTGAGTCAACCAAGCAGGAAGGTATGGGCCATCATGGAGCTCCAACTTACCCAAGAGCACCAGGCAATTAGCAGAGACCCCTGTCTAGGTCCCTTTTTTGGGAGTCCCCCCCACCCCACCATACACAGTGTTTTTCTTTCTCTCTCCCCATCTCCCATCTACTTTCTGCTGCTAATTTAATCAACTGTGTCTCAGCAGCAGGGAAAGCACTTGGATGACTGCTGCTCCCTCCCACACTGGCATCTGGATGGCCTCAGTGATGTATTTCAGCCCTATGAGTTTTTTATTTTAATTCAGTGGAACGGGAAGGAGGAGTGTGGGTGTGCAAGGAGCCTTCTCATGCACTCTCGTTAATCAATGCCAAGGCTGGGACCATTAATGATCTCTTACACAGATTTTCTAGTGCATGTGGCTTGCACCTCTCATCTGAAAGCTCCAGACTGTTTAACCATACATGCGGGGGGGCGGTCTGGCTTTAGTTGCCTTTCCCCGGCTTTTTTTAATCCATTCTTCATTTCAAGGAATGACAGGGAATGACGAAGGACATCTCTGTTAGTGCATTATCTCCTCCCAGGGGTTGTTAAAAGCTGGGTGCGTCCCATTTCCTGTCCTGGGAGAATGGGTAGGGCTATATTGGCTTAAAGGGAAGGGGTTCACCGAGGGGAGGCCTATACCATGGGGACAGGGTGCTCAGTCTCAGGCAATCAGCACTACCCTCCTGGTCCCATCCTGAACATTTTGGCCTAGGAAATGGAGCAATGAGTGTGTCCCTGGCACCCAGCTTGGGGCCAAGGCTGGGTATACTCAAGGGCTGGTGGCTTGGGGCATCCTCACTGCCCCATTTGCAGGATGGAGGCACGTGACGCAGGTGTGGATGCCCTGGGGTTTATCCCCTCAATGGTAAAATTTAGC